CTATTGCCAATCTACATCAGATTGCTTTCCCCATTGGCCAGTTGATCCTGCCCACCCCAATTATTCATCCCTCATCCCCCCTTCAGACTGCTGCCCTTTGCCCTGCCCTTTGTACCACCCCTGTGCCCTCCCATACTTAAGCTTGTGCACAGCACATGGTCTTTGTCTTTTATCCCTTGTTCCCCTTTGCATGCTGAAATAAACCTTGCTGGAACTGACCATTTAAAAGCCTTTCTGCCTCTCTTTACTGAGCTAGCCATGGTGAGTGTGGTATGTATGGACTTTTCTAGAATTTTGCTTTGCCTGAATGCTTACCCAAGCAGCTTTTCCACAGGAGATGCTTTTTGGGAAATAAGATATAGGTAGCAACAATCACCATCTAAACCCCATGCTGCTACAGCAGGGTGAGAGATATGGAGAGGCAGGACAGGCATGAGGGTCATCAAGAATCAGCCAGGGCAGGAAAATCAGAAGGCCAGGGCAAAGGAGGGAGCAAATGGGCCAAAAAACAGCAGCAAGCCCCAGTGACAGTGGAGACCATTGGCCCAGTCCCACCTTTCTTTGCCACCCATTGATGGAGACCTTTCCATGACCTGGTTGGAGAAGCCCCTCCACAGTGTCTCCTACTCAGTGTCTCATGTGAGGTGCTCCAGGCTGAGCCTCCCCAGAGATGAGGCTTCCCCCACTCCTGGCTGCAAGTGGCACCTGGACACTCTCTTCCTCCCTCCCCTCTCGTGTCTCTGACACCCCTGACAGCTAGGGTTGAGTCTAAATCAAAACCAAATTGGATCATCACTCAGGAAGCAAATCCAGCTGAGCAGCTCAGGAGAGAATTTTCATCAGCTGGCAGATGGAGGACGCATGGGTGCTTAGACTGGCTGGTAGTGAATCCCCTGGAGAGGGGGAAGTGTGTGAAATATTCCACTTCCCCAGATTTAGGAGTGTTAAATCAGGGATTCAATCTAAAGCCCCTCCCAGTTTGCTCACACTGACAGGTGTTGGTTGTGATCAGGCAGCTCCTGCAGAGAAATCTCCAAGCATCTTTACCTTGTCTCAATTTCCACCCTGTACTTTTTACATCAGCAGCATGGAGAGGTTCTGCTTCTATCCAGAAAGTGATTTGAGCCCAGGAAGCAGCTCCTGAGGGTTGGTGTAAATCTGTTGAAGTTTGTATGTGTTATTCTTACAGGAGACTCCACCTGTGAACTACAACTTTCTGTATGCTTTCATTCTACCCCTCAGTGCTCAAATCCTCCCCATTTCTGAGATGTTTTAGGCAGGGTACATGGATCTCCTGGTTCTTCCCTGCTCCATGGCTTTGCTGTCCTCCCTGGTGGTGGGAGTGGTGATGGCTCAGAGGGGTGAAAGTCCATGGGCAGAAGTGGGCATTTCTGTTGTCTCTGAAACAAGGTAAAAAAGCTTTCCTAGAACTGCTGCTTGCCTGCTGAAAGACTCGTCTGGCAGAGTCACAGCATAACTAATTCTTCTCAAGAAAGGAGTAATTGTATTTTGCTGAACTTCCCCTGGATCTTTCAATCATTTGACTGCTGGACTTATATTCATTCCTTCTGCCGTTAGACTTTGACTGTTCCTTCACCTAAGAGGGAAATTCCCAGAGATTTCATGTTAGCCAAGACCAAATTTGAAGTCTCTGACATTTGTTTCTTGATCAAAAGGCAGAGATCCTGAGCAATCTGATGGGTGGGATCCCAGAGCAAAGCCTACCACTTCAACAAATACATTTGTTTTCTGAATGAAATCTTAAGGGACATTTGTGCTATAGCCCTCCAAAATTTGATTTGTTTCATGCAAAAAAGGAGTCAGCCCTGAGATCTTGGCAATGAAAATCCCATTACTGTGAGCTTGATTTTTCATTCAGCTGTCTCCAATGTAACAAAATCAAAGAGAGGTTGGGAATACTCTGGTCTAAGTCATCTGTGAAGAAACACCCCTCAGATAAAAAGCTCCTTTTTCCTTCTTGCTCCCAACAGATCTGTTCTTAATTGCCTGTCCTAAACACTGACTTAAGTTTGGCAATCATCTCTATTTCTAGAAAAATCCAAACTTCACCTTCAAGTGTGATGGATAAGCTAAAACCATGCCCAGAAAAGCTGTCTGCACAAACCCCAGCTTATCTGATATGCAGGAAATTGGATTTTTGCCCCTTTTTGGGGGGCTTCTGGTGGGTTTGGGGTTTGAGTGTGCTTTAGTTTCTTTACCAATAACCGGGGTCTTTGCCATCAGCCTCAGTAACATGGGATGGAGCTTGGTTTTTGGAAAAGTGACGTAGTGCATTGGACACCAGTTAGATTTGTGTTGTGGTAGACATTTCTGAAGAAGTCCAACTGATGTGTGCTTTCTCTACTCACATTTTATCTCCCCCTTTTTCCTTATTACACTCACACCATTGTATAATTTAATTTTTCCACAATTCCCTCTATTTGTGCAGAGTATTTGTTCTTTTGTTGGCATCCCTTTCCTTTTCCTCACTTGGTGGTTTTTTATGTACAGGAAAAGTCTGTCTCTTCTCTTTTATTTGTGAGTATTCCCTGTGGTTGTCTTTAATTAATTTCAGATTTTTTTTCCCTTTTCTGTCTGAATGAGCATTTTGTTCATTTACCGTGGCACCAAGTTCCAAAATACAACAAGAGAGGTTGGTAACATTTATGAAAAGACAAATGGAGAGTCCCAGGATGAAAATGCAAGTCTGAGGTGACCAATGGGTTCAATACCAAGGTGGTGCCCAACCTTCTCCTCTTGAGGTACATTTAATGTTTGTGTTCTTCACATAAAGGTCTGGCTTTCCTGGGGTCCTGTCTGTGGCACAGGCCAGTCAGGGAGACCGAGAGTGGACTGCAGAAATCAGGGGAGCATTTTGCACTACTTCCCCAGGCTGTTTTCCCACCTTCTGAAAGTTTTCCTTGGAGGGGTTCTTCCTCACCTTATCAGTACTGATACAGAGGTGGCTTGGTCATCCAGTTCCTAATTGTAGGAAGAGGTGAGTAAAGAGGGAGTTTCCTGTGGACATGGGTGACTATCTGGGCAGCTCCATCCCACAGAGGCCAATTTGGGACACATGGAAACTCTTGCAAACTATTCACGGAGCTCTGCTGTCTCACTTCCCTGAGGTGTGTGATACATGTCCTGCCTGGGTTTTGGGCACCCTCTTGGAAGCACCAGGGAAGCTGATCACTGGAGATCTTTGATAGTGTTTACAGTAAATAAAAAATTCTACTGGACAGGATACCACTACAACCAACTGTATCTTATATTAAAATTCCACTATGTTCCACTATTTGGCTAAATTTGATTTTTGATTTGTCTGTCACATTGTTCCTTATTGAAGTCCCACTCTTTTTTCTTTTCCTTTTTCACTGGTACAGTCCTGTTGGGTAAGTGTATCATAAAACAAAAAGGAAATAAAATTGGCTATATGAAAAATCAAGAACATCTGATGCCTAGAAAGAATAAGAACTTGGGTATGTCAAGCTGCAGACATCTGGGCTTTTATTTAAACTGTTTTCAGCTTTGTCACTGAATCATCTTTTGAAAACCAAATATATTTTAAAACCCCCCTTATTGGCTGTCTGATACTATCCAGGTGTGTATTTGAATTTTTCCTTCTTCCTGGCATATTGTCCACATGAAAAAACCTTGAATTAATTTAAGAACAATTCAGAAGATGTTACCAGTGCATTAAAGAAAGAAGAGAAAAAAGAGGAGGCATAGAAGTAGGCTGCTTTTAACCTCCCATCCTTCAAGAGTTGTGCCTGGGGAATTACCTCCTGCCTCTGGAACAGAATTTCCTTGGTTTGAAGTCAGAGCAGACCCCGGGATTTATTGCTGGAGACACCCGCAGCTGCTAGAGCATGCAGGGCTCTGAGAGCTCAGGGGTTAATCTGAGCCGTGTGTCCCAGCCCCGCGGAGGTAAAGCCAGGCACTGAGACCTTTTGCTCCGAGAGGCTCTGGCACTGCCGGGAGGTTCATTTTGTCTGCAAAACCAAGCATGTAATTTCCCTTCTCCCTTGCTGTCCCGTCTCTCTGTCTGTCCAGTCCTGAGGCTCAGCGGCAGCAGAGTTTCCCTGGAGACAGCCAGGACATCTGAGCTGACCTTCAGCAGGGTGGTGAGAGATGGGCTTTCATTGCAGGACCTGGGCTAGGAAGCCCCCAAATTGGCTTTTTTCCTGCCAGACAGAAGGGGAAGGCTGGGGAAACCCCGAGACGCCTCCGTGCTTGGAAGCAGGAAAGTGAAGAAATGACATAAATTTAAAAAAAAATAAATTAAAAAAGTCATGCTTGGCATCCAAATTACATGCATTTAAAGCTTCCAGCTTACCACAGTGTTATGGCAGATTTACACAGAGATTAAAAATGATCCCTCACGAGTGAACACCAGCTCGTGTGAGCTGTGTAAATCCAAGAGCATCCGTACAGCCGCCAGACTTGGCATCCAAAACATCTCTGAGTCCACAGAGCCAGCAGAAAGGACATTTCTACCTTTTATTTTAAAAAAGAAACAGAGCTACTGAAGCCTCTGGAGTGTGGATTCAGCTGTCAGTCTTATTTACTACTTTCAGCTGTTATCTGCTGCCACTGAAACTGAGCGTGAATAACTTACCAGCCTGCACTGATAACTTTGCTTTCTGTTTCAGCTCCAGACAGAAATCCCATCAAAGCTTTCATCCCCATCCACGCGTTGAAAGATGACACAGGAGTTAAAGAAGTGAGGCTGAAATTCCTTAGGCTCTCCTAAAGATTTTTCCAAGAATTTTAAAAAGCCTCTTAAAAACGGCGGCAGAGATCGAACGCCGTTAAGGGAGGGGAAAAGAAAAAAAAAAAAAAAAAAAGGAAGAAAAAAACTTTGGCAGGCAAACAGTGTCTTACATCAATCTAGCAGTCAGCATCTATGTAGATGTTCTTTCCTCCTTTTGTGCAACACCCCTTCCCTCCTACAGACCACCCAAAGCCCTATAAATAATCCAAGGACTGTATTTTTCCTCCAGATTTCTCTTCAGACCTCAAAGGGAAAATATCAGGCAAAGGAAGGGAGAGAGGGAGAAAGGAAAGTGAGGAGGGGAGAGAGAGAGAGAAATAGTAAAGATGGCTAGTGAATTCAGAAAGAAAATGTTCTGGAGGGCAGTGGTGGCTGAGTTCCTGGCCATGAGCCTTTTCATTTTTATCAGCATTGGCTCGGCTCTGGGCTTCAACTTCCCCGTGGTGGCCAACAAAACATCAACGAGGTCTCAGGACAACGTGAAGGTTTCTCTGGCTTTTGGGTTATCCATTGCTACCATGGCACAGAGCGTGGGCCACATCAGTGGGGCACACCTGAACCCAGCTGTCACCCTGGGGCTGCTGCTCAGCTGCCAGATCAGCATCTTCAAGGCGCTCATGTACATCCTCGCCCAGTGCCTGGGGGCAGTGGTGGCCACAGCCATTCTCTCAGGAGTCACCTCCTCTCTCCCAGGAAACTCCCTGGGGCTTAATGCTGTAAGTAGAAACTTTGAATTCCTCCTTATTTTCTTTTTTCTTTTTAATATAAATGTAGCAGCTGTAATTTACTAAAAATGTAGGGGTTCTTTCTGTTGGTGCTGGTGACCTCGGAGAGCTCGACTGTTTATTGTAGGAGAGAATCCTGACTGATAACCAGGATGTCATAGGGATGGTCCTTCCTCCCCACCCTCATTTTGGAGCTTTAGGACATTCTGGTAGTGATCAGTTTTGCTTATGCTCAGTTTTGTACTTCCAAGTTGCTGAAAGGTGACTTTTGATGCCAATTTAATGCTGAAATTACTGGCAGTTTTATGATCTTTAGTGGTTCTGGGGGTCTCTAAGGTGACATGTTGATTAATGTGCATACATCAGTGTTGTTTTGGCTTCTGTGAGTGTGGTTAATTTTCATTACTTAACTAATGGTTTGTGTATTCTGGTGATGGCTGCAGTGAAAACCCATGGGAGCAGAGAGGTGTGCATCCCCAAATGTGTGAGCAGTACCTGTTGCATTAGGCAGAGTGCTCAGATCCTGCCTGGCAGAATCCCAGCTGCCCTTTCTGTGCATTTCTGAGCAAAATTGGACAAATCCTGAATTCTCATGTGTAAACTGGAGGAAAATGTGAGGCAGCTGCAGGTAACTGGGGTGCAGGTTAAAGCTCTCTCCTGGCCAGATGCTCACATCATGCTGCCTAAAAACTGCCTGGCCACAACTCCTCCTCCTCAAAATGTCATTTTGCTGTTTTTGTTGCAGAATAATGGGAGAGAAAAAAGGATAAATACACTTCTAAACTTGAAATCATCCCACTGTCAGGCAGTGCTACAGCTACTGCAGGACACACAGTGCTAAAAATGGAAATTCCTTCTGGTCACTTACTTGACCTGATCTCTTAAGAACAAGTATTTCTCTTATTTTCCTTGGCCCCTTTCTTTCAGGATATTCCTGACTGCAGTTTGTAAATTGAGCTAATTTGAAGTCTTCTGCCCATTTGTAGTCACAAGGGTATTTGGGGCATAAAACTCGAAATGCAACATCTCTTCTGAAATAACTTAGGCAAAACAGCAATACGGTTTTGCATACTGTAATTTGACATTACAGTTAATTCAGAACATGAGTCAAGTTTTCAAAAGAGAATAAAATCAGATATTAAGGTGATTCCTGGGCAGCTCAGTATCATTCACCCTCGTGTTACTCTGTGAGTTGGCTGCTCACCTCCCTCTCTCCTGGTGCCTGCAGCTATTCCATCCTGCCAGTGATTTGGAAATTTTGATGGGTTAACTCAAAACATTCTGGGGAAGAAGAGCAAATAATTTTATTTGCTCCAGAAGGCTCTGGCTGCAAGTGTGATATGTGATCTTTTCCTCTGAAACCACTGACAGGGGGAACAGCTCAACCACATGGGACAGGGTGTCTGCCCAAGTGGTTTCCTCGAGAGGTCCAATTGCCATTAAACACGGGAGGTCTGGTTTTGGTAGCACTTAAGCTTGGTTTTTCCCTTTTGCTTCCATAAAATCCTGATGACTGGTTCCTTCCTCTGACCAAAGCTCTAAACCTGGCCATTTGTGAAGGGGGGTGAAGCTCTCCTTGTCCATCAGTCAGTAACTCCTCAAGCTACAAAAGCAAAACCAGGCAAGGTTAAGTCTCCATCATACAAATTTTACAAATCAATCAGCAATTTCTGTGCAGTGGAATAACAGAGACTATAGTTTCTAAATGCTCTGATCTCACTGTTTGTAATTGGAAAATATTCAGAATTTTGTTTCTTTTTTCTCTCATGTCCACCTACAAATGTTCTGGCTGGAGGAGCAGTGGGGAGACCCCCCTGGGGATAGTGAGGGCAGCAGCTGTTCTGCCTTGTGAGAGAGAACTAGAGAGGAGAGGAAAGGAAAGGAAAGGAAAGCAAATCCATTCATTTCCCAGTGACAAGCCCGGACTGCCTGGGGAGAGGAGGGCTGAGGGGGAGCAGGGTCTGAGCCCAAGGCAGGGGGAGCAGCAGCAGAGGGGCTGTGCTCGTGCAGAGCTGATCTCAACGGGGCACATCCTGAATCCGCAGCACCGAGGTGCCTCCTCCAGCAAAGAGCTAGCAAAGATAAACCACAGACTTGCTTTTATTATGTTTTTTAACCTGAGGATAAGAAGGGGAGGCTCAGAGCTGGCATCCCTGCCAGCTGCTCTCTCTCCTGGCCCTTCTTCTGGATAACGAGGTGTGGATTCCCTGCTCAGAAAAAAAAAAATGAAAGAAAGAGAGTGCTCCTTGTTTGATAAGGTTGGGAAGAGGGTCTGGATGTTTGTGGCTTTGTCCTCTGTTCTGACCCTGCTGTGTTCTTGGAGAGGTGTTTTTTACAGGAAAAATGTGGTGGGGGCGCTGTGTAATGGAGTGAGTAGCCATCCAGTGTTCCCAGTGCATACTGGGTGGGGCTGCATGCCTGAACTTGGATTTCTCCTGCCTGGTTGCAGGTCGTGCACTGAGGGACCAGCTGAGAACCCATTAATACACTGTGCTCTAATACACAGAGAATAAGGGACAAAGAGAGGCACTTCAACCTCTAGATCTGTTGAGTTGCTTCCAGAGACACCCAGATGCTCTTTGCCATGCTGAGGCTCCAGGCTCAGGAACCTCTGCAAAGAATCCAAAATCAAGTGGGATAAATCCATGTCTTTCTCATTGCACAAAAGGAAAAAAGGAAACACAATCAAATGAAGCACAAAACCCAGCCATGGACAGTGCAAGGCTGAGGAAGAAGGGAGGATGAAAATGCAGGATGTTCCTTTAACATGTTCAGTATTAAGGTCTGGTTTACACTAAGACAAGCAAACCAGTCACACATTAGGATTCTCATCCAAACTTTGCTTAAGTCAACAGCCATATTTTTAGTTACTTTGGCTGGTCCCAAGTAAGACATTTTGGAAAACACTCAGAGGTGTATTTAGATTACTGAATCCTTTTAAGACACTTAACTTCCAATATATTTTACTAGTGGAGTGGGTTCCAAAGTAAAAACTTTGAGAATTGGAGAAGCTGGAAGAGAATTATTCAGTGTGTTTGCTCTTCTAAAAATTTAAATATTTTTCCTTACATCATCTTGTATTTTTTTTTTTTTAAGTTGGATTACTACATGTTACAAATTTCCATTAGGTAAAGCTGTAAGAATAGAAAATACCAGATCCAAAATGCACTCATCTGCCAGCAGAGCTGGCTATTGTCTGGTGAGGACAGATCTGGAGTTTGGATAATGGAACAAACTACTCAGCACAGGCAGTTAATGAACAACAAAGAGCTCAAGCAGGAAAGACGGGAGAGAAGAGACTTCTGTGCTGTAAAGTAACACAATATTTGCTGTTAAACAATGTTCATCTGGAGAACTTTTAGCAAACTTTTAAAAACATGGTCATAAAATTTCTTCAGCTCGGGTTATTTTATATATTTGTATTTATTTTTCTATCCATCTATCTATCTATGGAGTTGCATATATAATAACCTGAGCTAAATATATAGGTATATATAAATAATTAGAATTTTGTGACAAATGCAGACACTCCTTCACAATTTTCACCATTTCATAGTTTTCTGTATTTTGGCATAATGATGAGAATGCCAGGAAATGTGTCCCCAAACTCTCAGAGCTATAATTTGGAGAGACTGTTTGAAAACTCTTCCTTAGAGTTTATGATGGAAGATATTATTTTAAAAGTTATAAGTGGATCAAAAATTGTAGGCAAGAAAAACAGACCTGAAGGTAGATAAAGGGAAAAGAAAAACAACCAAGAATAACAAATAAGAGGGCTTGGGTTTAGAAAACACTCAGTGGACTGATAAATGTTGTTTGTGTAACTAAGGAGCTCTCTGGAAAAGCCAGAGGAGATCTGTGGTCAGTGGATTTAGAGGTCATTTTAAGACAGGTGAATATTCATATGGATGCTATTCCTGGAGCACGGAGAGTCACTTGCTGCTGGAACACCCTTTGAATTTCTGCTGTGACTGGCTGTGTCTCTGCTGCTCCCTGGGGCTGCTCAAGTCGGGATCAGCTGTGGCACCATGTCCTTTGGGGATAAACACCCTGTGTCTAGCTCTAGATTTATCAAGGGCAGGGAAAAAGGAGGCCTTTGCTGGCTTTGATTCCTCATACCAGGCCAGCATCTGCTGCTTTGACCTTCCAGTCTCACCAAAGGCACACCACAGAACCACAGGATCATGGAATAGTTTGGGTTGGAAGGGACCTTAAAGATCCAACCCCCTGCCATGGGCAGGGACACCTTCCACCATCCCAGGCTGCTCCAAACCCCATCCAACCTGCCTTGGACACTGCCAGGGATGGGACTGAGTCCTCTTTCCATAACTACTGCCACTTAGCTGGATTGTGATCCAGCAGCATCAGAGCAACTTGGAACCTCAATCCTGGAGATTTTTAGGTTTTCTTTCCTTTACTGTCTACATGCTCCAGTCTTATTCTGCTACTTGGGGAAGATGAACAATCTTTATCTCCAGGAGAGTGGAGCATAGGATGTGATAAGATATGCTGATCCCTATCATCTACAGATGATCTTATCTCTAGAGCATCCATGCTGGTGAATTTTCTCCCAACAAATTCCCAATTTGCATTTCCAGAGCAAACATATTTTTTGCACCAGCACTGGGAATTCCCTTTCTGTAGTTGAGACCTGCCATACCTTTTACTGGTGTTTGTGGGTCAGCACTGAAGTGTTTATCCTGACATCCCTTCCCCATTGGATGCTTCCCATCCTTTAGAAACTTGTCTTGGAGGGGATTCCCCATGGGAATCACCACACTCCCCACATTTTGTCCGCACCAGTGGCCTTCTCACCATGGGGAGCAGGACTTGCCTGGTTGCCCTGGATGACTCAGTGTTTGCCTTGTGATTTCCCTGTCTCCTCGTGCCCGCGCCCTACGAGCCCGTTCTCCAACCTCCAATTAAACAAAGCCGGCTCGAGTTGGAAGAACATCCAAAATAAACTGAGAGCTTGACAGTGTGAGGGGACA